GGGGGGGGGGGGGCTGAGGGCGGGGCAGGGACAGAAGTCTTAGGGCTCCAGCAGTTCCCCGGCCTTGAGCTCTGGGACAGCCCTGGGGGATTCAAGCAAAGGCTGGACAGCCACTTGTTTGGGGTGCCTTGGAAACCCTGCCTTGGGGGGGTGGGGGTTGGGGGTCTGGAAGGCTTCCACGATTATGTAAAAGGGGCCACTTTTGAGCTTCTTCTTTCCCGTGCAGCCCATTTCCATCTGTGGCAGAACAATGCTCTCCTTTAACTTCTCTTTCGCTGACATGAAACAGGCATCCAAACAAAGCATCGCTTTCGTTGTTCTTTCTCTCCCTCTGCCACAGAGTGCGGGCTTCCTCTGCCCTCACGAAAGTCTTCCCCCCACTTCCATGACCTGCTAATAAAGGCAGCAGGGGCTACAATCCATGTCCAATTCAGCAAATCTGCCTCTCTCTTTGATTAAGCTAACGACTGCACCAAGCTCCCAATGGATCCCTTCATAGTGCATTTCAGAGCCAATACAGTTCCAAAAATATCTCGCGCCTCAGCTTTGTTGTCTCTTGGTGAGTTATTTCCTCTGGAATGTGGCTGATCTGCTTCTCATCCTTTTTTTCTGCCTGTGCACTTGAGTGCATCCGCTGCAGGGGTCACATCTTCTTCCATTTGGATCCCAAGGCCGCCCCTCCCTCCCTCCCTCCTGACAGTTTCATATTGGCAGGTATTAAAATCATCTAACGGACTTCTCAGAAACTGCAGATTTGCATCACGCCTCATTTTTAGCGTTCTCAGAAGTTTCAGCATATTCTGGGAAGTTGTTTAGCATTAATTTTGCTTCAGACGGAACCCCCTCTTAAAATGTCAAACTGGTGCATTTCCTACCGATGGTTTCCTTTCAGCATTTCTCTCACTCTTTAAATGGATGTACTCGCCAGATGCTCAAATATATTTCTCTTCTGAGGAGCGACACTTCAAATTCAGCACCATTCAGTTGTTGGAATCCCGGCCCTATCCTCATGTAGAAGGCCTTTGGAATTATCTCACACTCCTGCAATTTATGTGCTTCTATTCCTTTTTGTTGATTGAATGATTGATTAATTGCCTTCAAGAGAAGAGATCAAAATATGCCGGATTAGTAGACAATAGGTATTGGTAGAATCAAGCTATTAGGAGTAGAGATAGATACTCGATATCTCAAAGGTCAAATTGATTTTAAAAAGTTAAAATGCAAAGAATGCTGACCCTATTTTTGAGCATTCTGTCCTTGGGGATAAAGAAAAGGGGAAGGAAAAGAGGGGAGGATTTTCCTCCAAGAGCAGACCGAGGCTGGTGGGCTGGGTTTCCTGTGTCCGTCTGTCTGTCTGTGCCCAAAGAAGATCAACCTTACCAACAAGGGCAGAGGAGAGAGCAAAGTAAACGAGAGAGAGAGAGAGAGAGAGAGAGAGAGAGAGAGGGAGGGAGGGAGAGGCCCTTCTTGCTCCTGGGAGAAAAGGGCAGAACCAGTTGATGCCGAAGGAATTGTACCTCAAAGGAAGGACTAGATGAGAAATCAGGTTGCTGGAATACCATGTTTCCTGCAAGGCAGTTTGTTTACTGTTGGGCTTTGCAAGTGACTCATCCGTGGCCTCAACTTTGCTGGAGGATTTCTTGGCTGGGAAGCCTTGGCAAAGCCGTCCTCTGCAGCCCTGGGCTGGGAAGAGCCGTGGGTTGCAGCCGCAATGCCGCCCAGGGCTTTGTGTAGCCGTTTTGGGTGGTTGTGTTCTGTGTCTCTCTCTA